CTCCCTCTCCATCTGCAACAGCTGCGCCGAAAACATTTAGCATTATGCCTTCAACTCCAGGAGTATCTCCAAAAACTTTGGAAACTGCGAAAACAAGTACAGAAGCGATTTTACCACGTGTTCCTCCTGGAGAAGGGAAAATGGCAATGCCGCCACGAATAAGGCATACCACAACTCCCACAGACACATCGTCACGCGAAGCTTCCACACAAAGTTCTTTTCCAACACTGACAAATCTCCCACGATCTTTTTCATCTATGAGAACTAGGCCTCCGACCAGAACTTTTCCATTCACTAGGGGGCCACGCATTACTTTCCGTCCAAGAATAAGAACGTTCCCTCATAGGGTATTACCAACCATTAGCACCTTTGCACCACCACCATCACCATCACCTACACCAATCACTTTGCAGCGTATTGTCACAAGCACACCTACTGCACCCACGACTGCACCATCCACAGCACCATTGTCTACATTCGCACCAAGGAGCACATCTAACCACCCACCGCTCAATCCTACTCATTCTGTCAAATTTCCAGAAATGGGACTCAAAACGACTACAGAAGACGATTTGTCTGTCGTTGTTGAATCTTTCGGTTCAACCACAGGTATTCCCAGTGACGCATCATCGCTTGGTAAGCACGGACGATGCACACCATCCGATCGGTCGATGTGTCATGAATTGGCAATCTGTGAGATTGCCACCGGAGCTTGTCGATGTAAGGATGGATTCAGTGGAGATGGTTATTCAAACTGCACGTAAGTCATGTCCTTACTGTTTATTTCTTTTATGTTTAGTGGAAGTTTTTTGTTGTTGTGTTTACCTCGCCTTATTACGCACTATGTCGCAGACGCCCTGTCGTTCCGGCACAGGGTAGGGGAACGAACGCTGCCAGTCTGAGCGTTCAGCAGACGACTGGTCCTGCAACGACATGCCACAACATCGCAAAAGGACCAGTTGCCAGCAAGGCGGCTCACTGGCGGAGTTCGTTCCGGATAGGGGAACAAAGGCCGCCAGTTTGAGCCGGCTTTGATGCCAACTGGTCCTTTTGCAATGTTACTTTATGTCGTTCCGGGACCAGTAGTCAGAGGGGGTGACTCAGACTGGCGGCCTTCCTTCCTCTGCCCGTTCGTTCCCCTACCCTTCAGCGTACTACGCGTTGTGTACTTTACGATGTAAATCATACGCTTCATGCATACTTCTTTTGAAGTTGCTTGAGGTACGATTCGTGAATCGTTTAAACGCTATGCATTTCTCGTCTTTGAGTGTTGTATCTAAGGACATC